AGAGAGAAAGGGAGAGAGAGAGACAGGGAGACAGAGAGACAGGGAGACAGAGAGAGAGACAGGGAGACAGAGAGAGACAGGGAGACAGAGAGAGAGAGACAGGGAGACGGAGAGAGACACAGGGAGACAGAGAGACAAGGAGACAGAGAGAGACGGAGAGAGACAAAGGGAGAAATAAGAACGCTGACAGATACAGCTCCAAAAGCTTAGATTTTTTACTTATAGAGGAAAGTTTAGTAAAAAAAAAAAAATGGAAAGGAAAATTAGAGTATATAAGAAATACATATATACACATGCATATATGTATACATATATGTACACACACACACGCATATGTTTTTCCTTTATAGGCCAGGCCCCCAAAATGTCCAACCACAAAGATACCCTTGGAGGTGGAGAACTTTGCTTCAATCTCTAGCCGTCACATGAAAGATCAGCCTGCCCAGTGAATAACTCTCACATCCAAAAAGTGCTTCTCAGTCTGTACAAGGATTCTACTGAGACCCTGTTGGCATTAGACTTGAATGAACTGATGGCGTGTGGATGGCATATGCATGACCAGCAGCTTTTCTGGACATATATATGAATAGTTTTTCATGTCATATATATCAAAGTAGCTTTTGTCATTTCCATGGGATTCATTAGTTCTTTCACGAAATGCGATTCTGCTCTCTATCGTTAGGTTGAAATGAACTTAAAAAAAAAAAAGTGTTGATGCAATTATGGTTGCTACTATGCTATTGTCTTAACGGCCTCAAAAATTAGGCATCGAAAGGCAACCCTCGGGTATCCCAGTGAATCCCCATCACGAGACAAAGAGCTGGATTGGCAATAGCTCACTCAGACTGTTGGAATATCCTTTGAAGGTTAAGAAGCCATGAAATTATCCTTTTTTCTTCTTTAAAAATAAACACTGATTATCGCGCGAATGTAATTAATGTGGTTCGATTCCCATCCCTACCTTCTTTTATACTCCCAGTTACATAAATTTGCAACCCCAAAAAAAAAAAGTGACAACGCCTGATTCCCTTTTGGGGTTGGTGGGTTCCTCTCGGGTCTTAGTGAAGTAAGAGAAGCAAACTTGTAAATGAATTGCTCTGGAATTTCTGTCTGACTTGTGCATTTTCTTTTATTTATTTCATTTTTGCATTGAAAACGTTACATTTCTGTTTCCTTATAGAGTAGTGTATCAAGAGCCTGTGTATGGCAATAAATTGCTGCAGGTAGGAAATCCCAACTGGTGGAAACACTCCTCACTCTGATCGTGGGTTTGCTGTGAAGGCCTACTAACCAGACACCTCGGGGAGGGGAGATGTTTTCTAACATAGAAGCAGGAAAGACTTAACTCAATTTTCCAGTTTTGATGTGAATTCTTCTAGCACAGAGTTGGTCGTCTTTAGATTTTCCCTGTTCCTCCGATGTGTCCCACTGATAGGCTTGGGCAATCCCTTCCAATATGAGGATGGTTTTCATGTCTGGCCTTGGGTGGCCTTAGCCATGATCTTTGTTAGATCATGAGTCCATCAAAATGGGAGTCCAGCTTGACTGTTAATTTCTTGGCTTAAAGTGTATCTGGTGAGAGAGAAAGCATCCCTAAATCATTGACTCAACCAACATCAATTCAGTGGAAAGAATTAGAGGGTTTCATGGAATGAATTGTCTGGGTAAGTTTTTAATAGGTTCCTAGGGTTATCTGGAATGGTTAAACCAAAAACCTCTTGGATATCTACCTTTGAGGGTCAGAATAAGGAGCCCTGGTGGCGCAATGGTTAAGCCCTCGGCTGCTAATCGGAAGATGGGTAGTTCAAACCCACCCAGCAGCTCCAAAGGAGAAAGATGTGGCAATCTGCTCCCATAAAGATTACAGCCTAGAAAACCCTATGGGGCAGTTCTGCTCTGTCACGTGGGGTCGCTCTGAGTCGGAATCAACTTGACGGCACCCAACAACACAGCTGACAGAAGTCTCCCTGGTCTCACTGTAGCTGGGCAGAAATTTGCCTCACACCTATTGTTACCGCATTCAGGCCTGTTCCCCTCCACTGAAGCAACCCCCAGATGGACAAACTTAGAGGAAGTAAAAAGAGCCAACCCCTCTGGCTGAGACTCTCCAAATTTGTCCTATAATCCAACTTTAAAACCGGCCAGTAAAAATGAAAACAAATGCAAAGAAAGGTCAGCGGGTGTTCTATTTCGTGGATCTCCCTATCACCTGCAATTTCCATTCTTATTCACTATAAAGTCAATTAAGAAAGCATGTTTTTTATCATCAGAACTGATCAAGTTTTAATGAAAAATCTAATATGAAAAAGGGGCAGTTGGGCCTAAGAAAGAACAAAATGATCGAAATTGCTGAGATCACCTTTTATTGTCACATTTCAAGAACCCTAAAATGTGTATTGCCACATCAAAAATAGCCGGGTGAAGCAGATGAGGAGGGAGTATGGTTCATACTGCAGTTTTTCATTTGACAAATGTTTCTGTAAATGTTACTATAGCAAATAAAATGCTCACTGAGTTATTTGTGGAACAATCCACCTGTTTTGCACGAAGTAAGACCCTTGTATATTCTCAGTAAGGAGACCTCTACTATCTGTGATTAAGCCCATTGTCACTTTCTTGGAGCCCATGGGTGGTGCAAACAGTTAACGCACTCGGCTACTAACCCGAAGGTTGGCAGTTTGAGTCCACCTAGAGCACTTCAGAAGAAGGGACTGGTGAGCTCCTTCCAAAAAAATCAGCCATGGTTTGCAGACCGTGTGGAACACAGTTCTACTCTGACACACATGGGGTCGCCATGAGTTGGAATCGATTCAATGGCAACTTTTTTTTTTTTATACCCCCAAGCTGAAGGGCAAGACACAGAAACACACATATAGAGTCCTAGCGATCCACATCCCCACCAGCACGCTAAGTGTTCACCTCCCTTCCTAAGTCATTCACTGTTTAGCTATTAGAACATCTTTTTCCAAAAGCATGCTCTAAACTTAAAATTTCGATTTCCGTTGTCAAAGTAATTTGAGACATGTTGGAGAGCCAAAGGTTCATCACTATTGTGTTGGAAGCCCCACGAGTGGAGAAACAGTTTCATTTCCTTTAATCCAGCGTTTCTCAAACCTATTTGATCATGGAACCCTTCCTTTCCTTGACCCTATGAACTTCTCACCAAGCACTATTATGAAAATGTTCCATTGGCCCTTAGTTGATATCTTCTTCAATGGACTGCCAGAGTCCGCGATAACAAAAAAAACATGTTTTCAGAACATGTGAGCCTGGATCTCTGATGGCCACATTTTTATTTTGGTGGGGGGTGCGACCCATAATGCCCATTTAACATTTTTATTTTATATATGGTCACATTTATATTTCGCTTGCCGACATGTGGAAAGAGAGTATGTTTTATGAGCAGGGAGTGTGGAACTATTGTGAGCTTCTCATCCCTTTTCCCTTTGGTTTGGGGGTGGGGAAATTCTAATTGTCAGCCACACATTTTGGTCATAAGGACCGGGAGGACCAGGTTTGACATGAACACGGTCTGCTGGTAGCAAATGGGAGTGAGCACTCCTGCAGACATTAGCACAGAACCTTGCAGAAGCTCTGTCCATGCTCAGTGAGCCGCAAAATATGGGGCAATAAAATTGATTAGACTCACCTGTTAGAAAGGCAAATTAAAGCAATTTGTATTTTCTTGATCATTTTACAGTGTATGCACATGTGCACTAAGTTAATACACGCGTCTGTTATTCCCCTAAAATAGATTTCATACAGAAGAAAAATTGCAGAGAAAGACAGTGCAATATATATACATGCAGGTATCGAGCCACCGAACCCTCCCCCGACCCTTGTTCAGTTTTTACCTGTTTCAGGGATCACTTAGACCTTTGCTGTCTAATACTGTAACTACCAGCCCCATGTGCCTATTTAAATTTAAATCAACTAAATTTAAAGAAATTAATAATTCAGCTAATTGCCCTAGCCGCATTTCAAGTGCTCAATAACCACTAATGACAAAAAGCCAAAAATCAAACCATTTGCCATGGAGTCAACTCCAACTCATGGCCACCCCATGTGTGTCAGAGTAGAACTGTGCTCCGTAGGGTTTTCAATGGCTGTGATCTTTTGGACATAGATCACCAGGCCTTTCGTCCAAAGAGCCTCTGGTTGGGTTCAAACTGCCAACTGTTTGGTTAATAGCCAAGTGCTTAACCATTTGCGCCACCCAGGAACTCCTCCACTTACGACAGGTGGCTGCCATCTTGGACAGCACAGGTGTAGAGCATTCTCATCACCACCAGAAAGTCAATTTTACAACATCGAGCCCACCGATCAAGCTCAAGATCCCTCCCCTGGCTGCCCCGGTGTTAGCTAGCTATGACCTTGATTCACGAATCAGGAATGCTTGTAAACAAGTTCCTAAATAACAAAGACAAACATCAGGCTTTGACCACATGCGCCTGCCTTGCATAGCAACACTTATTTTCTGTAAATGGCCAAATTGTAGGCAAATATATAGAGTAGAGGTCCTTCCAGAAGCTTCGTAGATGACCACATCTCTTGTGCAGAAGGATCCTACGCGTATACACATGCATTTCATGTTTATATGAGGAATCTCAAACGAGCTGTCAGTGTAGTTCAATGTTCGTTATTTTCTATTTCCACTCCTGTAGTTCCTCCTACATATCCAACTCACTGGCTGCTTTCATTGGCCAAAACTGTTGCAGAAGCTGGGGAAGAGAATCAAAATCCAAAAGAAATATGTTTGCAAATCGAACATTGCTAGAAATGTTTGCTGGGGCCGAATTCAGTCACCAAATCATAATTTATATGGCATCTGGTGACCTATGCAAATACCTTTTTTCCCCTCAGGAGAGAAAAAAAGTAGACACACACACACGTTTTTTCCCTTCAAAGCTTTCAGCCACTTACAGTTAATACCGCCTATGGTGTAAGCGATTAGCTGAAAAGTTGGCAGTTTGAACCCACCAAGAGGTGCCTTGGAAGAAAGGCCTGGTGATCTGCTACCGAAAGGACACAGCCTTGAAAACCCTGTGGGGCACAGTTCTACTCACACACGTGGAGTCACCATGGGTCAGAATCTGGCTGTTCTTTTTTTTTTTAAACGAATGTGGAACATTATAGGCTATGTTATGCCAATTGAGCTACTGTCCCCCAAGACCATGGTCCCTAGCCCTTAGCCCAGTAGCCCATGAGTCAGAATCTAACAACCACCACCACCGACTAGCCCATTCCAGCCCCTCCCTACCTTGTAAAGTTTAATATACGTACCAGCACGCCTGTCCCGCACCTTTCTGTATGCCTTATGAAAGACAAGGAAATGGGCAAACAGACTAAAAGAATGGCTCTTGAAACCTGGTGACCTAATTTTCCCCCAGCCCATCATTCTGCGGCTGCAGCTTGGTGCCAGCATGACAAATGGCTTTGCTTTTACAACTCCTCAGCAGATTTTAATGAGTTTCCCGGTACCTAATTAGAGAACATGGTGCTTGGAACACGCCAGGTGGTGGCTGGCTAAAGACCTCTTTTTTTAACTTCCACTTTGTTTTCCAGGGGAGAATTTTTTTTTTTAAACTGGCTCCAAATTATTGATGATTATCTGTCAGGATGATTTGGGCGTGCCTTCTCCAGTGCTGATGCAAAGAACGAGCTTCTTTAAGGGTAAACTAGCTTTTTCGATTGGCTGCTGTGCAAGCGAAGGCCGATTTACTCGCCAAGTTAGCCTTGGTTGGACAAGGGTGGAAGGAAATGGTTGAGACCAGTTTACCCACGTTTTGAAAGATGCCTTTTGCAGCTTTTCTGCTTCAGCTATTTCCTACCTATTACTTGCTTCCCTCCTATACATGAGGCCAAATTTGATGAGCTCCCCCACTCCTGATTTTATTACTGCATATCACAGCCTTGAAAACACTACGGGGCAGCTCTATTCTACACACATGGGTTGCCATAAGTCAGAACGGACTGGAGGACCACTAACACCCACTACCCTGGGACATAATTCTTCTGTCCTGAGTTGCCCCAGTTTGGTGAGGGCGAGATCCCTTCCTCAGAGGATTATGGTGCTGTGTCTTCTAATTAGAACCTGAAAGGCTCCTGTGTTACCTGTGGGTGGAGGCTGGGTCCTGTTTCTTAATTGTGCCAGGATCGTTCAGCGGTGGTTGATGGATCGCTGTGGTCCGCTGAGCAAGAAGCTCTGTGATTTTCGCACTTTGATGATCGATGCTCCACTGAACACAATCCCTTTCAAATATGCCCATTTGCTTGTCCTCTCTGCTTAACTGAACAATTACAATTACCGTTACATACAGCTAAATGTTAATTATATTTTTTTCTCTCTGAATGATTTTATTTACAAATGAGAAGACTTTCTCATATTTCGCACACCAGATAAACTCCCCATCTGAACCTGTGTGATATGTAGTAGTGGTGTATTCTTAGCTGAAAAGACAGAATTTTTAAGAGACATTCACTATTCATTTTTGTAATAATTATGTAACGTTTACAAAACTAAAGACATTCTTTCTTAATATCCTGAGTGATCAAATGATTGCATATGTGAAGGATGACTAATAACTTCCAACCAAAGGATTATCTGATTTTTTCTTTATAAGTAGAAAAGAGGACATTCAGTTAACCTATATTTTGTTTTATTTTTTCTAACGTAAAAATATAGATCATACATTTGTCAACTCAACATTTTTCACGTCTGCAGTTCAGTGAGATCAATTACATCAATCCTGCTGCGCAACCATCACCGATATCCTTTGCCAAATTTTCCATCCCCATAAATAAAAACTCAGTGCTTCCTAAACAATCATCAAGGCTCATCTGCATAAAGTTTACATTAATAACTAGTAAGTAAAGGTAAAGCAGAATCATTTTGGAAAATTTGGAAAGTCCAGCAAAGTATAAGGAGTGTTTAAATAATCTTCTATAATCCTCCTCACCCCAAGACAGTCACCATTAACACTGAGGTATATTTCCTTCAGAGGACCTGGGTTCTCTCTTTGGGATATGCTTAAAACTGCTAACCCTTAACACCCAGCTGGGGCTGGTGTTCAAGCCCCTACCTCTCCAGTACGTTCTGCATTTCTGCTTTGATACTAAGCTCATTAACCTCAACCTTAGGTTGTAGGGTTGGGTTAACTGCTGTTCTGCTGTGGTCTCGCAACTGGGCGTCCCCTGAGTTGGGCTCTCCTGCTTTTCTGAGTCAACTCTCTCCTTGTGTTGTAGGGTGGTTATGCTGCATACCGCTACGCCCAGCCTACCCCTGCCACAGCCGCTGCCTACAGTGACAGGTAAGGGTCTTCCTCCTCATGCTTGGAAACCACTTGGAAATTAACTTAGCTGGTGGGAGAAGAGAGTCTCGTCGGGCCTTGGTGAAAATGCATGACTGCTTGGGAGGTAGCACCCAAAATATCCGATCCCGCGGTGAAGGTAAACACCAAGTCACCTACAGAGGGAATGAATGGTTAAGCTTAGTTCATCCTAAACATCTCTTCCTCTCTGCCAAGACACAAAGCAGTGGCATGTCTTGTCCCTACCTAGCTGTTACAGATCTCCCGATTCCCACGCCAACACAGTTTGCATGCACACACATTACACTCCTGGCCAACCTTCTCGTGGTCTGCTACGTAAGACCATGGTTTCATCTAACTCATAGGCAGAAAAATAGAAGATGATCCTGCAGGTGTTTACCTAGAGTTCAAGCACCCTAGATCCCTGTTTACAATATTTCACACTAAGTTAAGCCTTCCCTCCATTGCATTTTTGAATTCTAAATAAAGGAATGGGGAGGTGTATACCTGGCATTCGTAAGGAGAGGCATTCTTTTCGGCATTGCCCAGTGTCCGGTGAACATAAGTCAACTTTTATTTGTAACATACCCCACACGTGAAGACTGGCAGTGGAAGGGTCAAAGGTGTTTAAGAAATGCAGAAGTCAGGATGGAGGAGTGGGGAGCTTTATGACTTGAGCTTAACAGATGAGTTGGCTCCTGAAGCAGCCAGCCAGAGCTATTTCAGTATAGTATGCCTTAAAAAAAAAAAAAGAAAAAAGAAGAAGAAGTGCGCGTTTTCGTATTGAATGCAACTCCTTGGCTCTGTTTCTGAGGACGTAAATGTGAATGTTCCTATGCTGTGCATGCCCAGTCGTCATGGAGGGTGCTTATTCTGGTAATGATGTCTTTGATTTAAAAAACCTGTTTCATGAATAAAACAATAATGATAATAATTTGCATGTGTGGCTGAGGCATGCTGGGTCAGACAGGTAAGCAGGTGATGTTTTTGACTCTTGATGTAGAAGTGTCAGCCGCCAACCGGTTCTCCCACCTGGCCTGTCGCGACTTAGTTCCTATAGGTTTGCTGTGGTATGCTGCCTCTGCAGTCCCATTCCATGTCTCACGACGTGTATCGTTAGCTCATTGCAGCTACGGGATTCTTCTGTGATATCATAACGAATGCAAGATAAAGCCCTGAACTCTAAAAGCTACACTTTGAAAACCCCCATGCAAACACTTGGAACCAATAGCTCTTGGGCAAGATAGAGTTGACATCGGCTGTCTGGTTGTATGCAGGTATTATGCTGATGATTTTCTTATAAACAGCCATCACAAGTTATCAAGACTGTAGGCAGTCTCCAAACAATTATCCCAAGACAATTCTAAATACATAAATTATCCAGTTCCCCAATGATCAGTTGCCGAGAAGCAAACTATTTTTAGGTAAGTTGCTATTTTCAGTACACTTTGACACTGGATTAAGAAAATAGACAGGGTCGATAAGTCTAATAAAAATGATGACAATCTTGAAATTCTCAAGATCATTCTACACATGAAAAAGGCTTAATGCTATTAAATTCTGCACCCTAAAGAGTCACACAGTATCAATTGTAATGTGGTTCAGCTACAACCCTTAATTATTTTTATGAAAATATCTCCAGATGCTAAATTCTCAAACACCCACTTTGTATATAATTATAATCATAGTAACTTTAGCCTGCTGTATAATTACAAGAATCTTAAACGGATTTATGTCTTTGGATTTTTGTCTCGCTTCTCAGTATAAGTGCATCCATCCTCTCTAGCTGACAAAAGGTTAATTACAAAGATATAATTTAAATAGCTCTCTCCAATAAGACCAATCTAGACATCTGAAAAAATAAATAATATCTAATACTATTCTTAGATAGAATCATTTGAGAATCCAGCCAGCTCAACTGGAATTCGTCTAAAAATTAAGTTAAAATGTTGCTTCATTTTGGGGTACTGTCTATGCAAATATGTGTATAGAATCTGTTATTTTAATATTATTAAGATTTCCCATCTACAACGTGTCCTTCTGAGAAATTGCCCTCTCTCTTGGGTTGGTAAATTTTCAATACCTCTGCAATTCTCACCCTAATGTAATAGTCTCAGTTGAAGAAACCATCGAAATATGCTTTTGCCCATGTAATTGGCCTCTTGTTCATTAGGGAAATTTGCACGTTAGGTTTTCTTGGTTGCTGCGGAAATTGATTACTAGTCCTATTTAACTTTATTATAAGCAAGACACTTGCTACATATGGAATTATGGCATTGAGGTAAAGGCAGTGATAGGTGCAGTAAATTACCAGAAAACAGTCTTTAAAATGATATTTCTGGTTTGATTTGTACAGTGTATCTATGAAGCGATGGTACTTCCTTTAATTCTTAGTAAGTGGGTAAAGAGAAGGAAGACCCTTTTATAGAAGATGTACATGTTGGGGAAAATGTGAAATTATCAGAATATCTTCTGAATCTACATGAAAGATGCCAAGTATCTAGAATGTATCTCAGGAGATATTATAATACATTATTTTTCGTGCTACTGCAGCATAGTATCAGTAATAATAAGCTCTTAGTGCTATTCTGTAGAAGGTAGGATGACAAAGAATACTAATTTTTAACCAAAAGAAGCTGCTTCAAAATAAGAAGTAAAATCAGCAAGAATGGAGAAGGCTTTGGTCATGCTCACTGGCTGTCAATCCGATCAAAAGAGATACCACTGCGACAGACCTGCCCTGTAATCACGAGATTCACTCTCCAGAGGTCTTGAAAGTGAAAGTTTGATGTCCCCAGATGGTAGGAGTTTACCTTTCATCAGGACAAATTAAGCCCTCATCAAATTAAAGATTCAGGGAACTTTGAAAAACATTGAACACTAGTAACCTCAGAACTGTTCACAAGGTCCTTCACAAGCACCTTCCAACTCCCTGCCCATAATCCTTCTTGGTTAAATGATCACATGCTGATGGTCTCAGAGCACCCTGAGAGCCTCTGAATGCTGACCTCCAGAATGAAGACCATCTGGTGTGGGCAGAGATTTCCCCCAAGAGAAAGACCTGACTGGACTAGGTAATATTGTAGTTTCATTGAAGAATTTAATGGGAATAGGCAAACATCTTTTCTTGGCATTTAGGAAATGTCTGGTAAGCAGTTGACCTCACCAAAACTTTATTTTTAAGCTCACTTTGATTTACACAAAGACAACTGTCCAAACTCTCAAAGGAAATTATTTTCTGAGCTTGAACCAGTCAAAGCATGGCAATGGGGCAGACGGTCATCTGGTCATTGCATGCCACTTGGTGTTGCTGATGTGTCTGTGGTACGTTATGGATTTGACAGGTCCATCATCACATTAGCTCAATGAATGGCTTGCTTGAATTAAGCCTGTGGGCAGGCTTCTCTTTATTGATTGGCTCTTGGTTTCTTTGTGTATTATGACTTGGTCGTTGTTGCATCTTTGAACAGGCAAACGGGGTGGGAGGGGAAAGAGTCCCTGTTCCATGAATTGTGCCACAAATATTTGGGAAAATATGTATGATGTGTATATAGGTTTAATGAAAATGTTATCTCTCCAGAAAGACAGACATTTGTCATGCTCGTTCTGCTTGCTAACACGTTAACATTTCCTAACGATCAGTGCATGAAAACGTTCCTCCACATTAGGGCAAAAAGGAGCTAAATATAGACCAGATAGGGAAGACAGTAATACGGTGTTTTGCTCTGAAATATCAATGATCCTGCTGCACTGTATGTTAACCAGGGCCATTTCTTCTTTCACATAAAACATGCATTTCTTTTAAAGATCCCTGAAATACCAAGCCACTTAGGACATACAGTGACAGCACTGCCTCATAAGTGTCCTTAGAGTGAGCAAAAGAGACATCAAGCAACAGGATTTTGTTTTATTTTATACCTTTTCCTTTTGTTTTTTGACACCTTAAGTTTTCACTGTGAACATCATATAAGATTGTACCATATGAAATTGCTATTTTTGTGGGACAAAAATGGTGGAATAGTGGCAATTTCATATGCTTCAACTTAATAGAAACCCAGAGAAAATGCCATAACATCAAGTATCTTGCTCTCTCTATTTGAGCACACACACGTCTGTGCTCTTCAGGGTCTCTCAGAGGACTCGTACGAATATCTAGCGAAAAAGAGGCTAGGACTTGCTAAGTCGCCAGCCACGAGCTAGAAGATCTTTCAAATCTTACACTCATAACCTGTGAATAAAATGTTGTATTTCAGAGGGAGTGGATGGATGGATGGATGAGTGGGTGGGGGGGTGGGTGGGGGGATGGATGGATGGATGGATGGACAGAAGACAGTTAGATGAAAGGATGCGTATATAGACAGATGTATGCATGATGTGAGTATGGATAGATAGGTAGATAAATAGGTAAGTAGACAGACAGATAAATAGATAAGTAGATACGTAGATAGATGGATGAATAGATACATAGATGGATATATGGATGATGAATGGGTAAATGGACGGATGGATGGACAGATAGGAAAAGATCATCTCTCTGACGTCTCATAATATTGCATCATACATAAACTGCAGGAAATAGAACTGATGAAATCCTACATACAACCTTAGTAAGATCCAAACTGAAAAAGAGATTTTAGTTGATTTCCGTTCGTGTAGGCTGCTGCCTATCTATTTTAAGACTTTTTAACTTCCTGGACGCAGATTAAATAATAGAGAAAAGCCTTCATTAAAATAGACAGGCTAATAATTGCATTTAAAACGATATGGTATCTTATTTGGAGTCCTTTTCAAATGATATACACTAAAAATTAAAGAGTTGTCAGCATATAAAGCATATGAGCATACTGAATCACAAATTTAATTTACCATTTAAGATTGTTGTTTTGTTTTGTAGGAAGGTTAATTTTTTAAAAAAATTGTACTTTAGGGACTTAATTTTACTTTGTCTTGCTGTGGGGTAGAATAGAGAAAATTTAACCTGTGGGTTATGTGGAACCCTT